AAATCTGAAAGCTTTTCATATTTTACATTACGCCCAAAGAGGCTTTTCTTTAACGTTTTGTGTGTTACCTTTATTTATTAAATATTTCTTCGCACTTAAACCACAAAGTTCAGTCCAACAGCAATATCGCAAAATAATTATAAAATGATTTAAATCGTTGAATGTGTTAATTTGTAAAATTAACACATTCAACGATTAAAATTTTACAAAATATGAAATCGATAATAAAACAAATACCAAATTTGGGCTTCTAGATGCCCATATTCGAGTGGAAATGTACGTTATTCAAAATTTGATGTCTCTACGTACCGTTGTTTTATCACGATGCGAGTCATGATTTAATTTGTTTAAATGTAACATAGGGCTATAATATTGGATAGCAATAATTTGAAATGTGACCCGACATTTATAGTGAACCAACGCAAAATGCCAAAACAAAATTAATAGCCCTTCTGGGCTAACTCCCTTTGGGCTTAGAAAAATTTCCAAAACTTTCCTCTTTCCTACATTCAGTTCTTTTTATCACCATTATCATTGAACTGCAAGTGCGTAGATTAATTCCAAAACATTTCTTTTCTTTAATGCGAATTGCATTAAATACTGTCTGGTATTAAATATATTTCTTCCTTTCTCACATTTTAATTTCAAACAAGTAAAGTAAAACTAAATCACAAGTTACAAAATTTTATAAAAGGAATATTATAATCCGAATATTGTAAATCATTATTAACGCTAAATCTGAAACTACGTTGTTTGATCATAGCGCATTTCTTTCTTAAGTGCACTTTGCAAGGTAAACTGCCTCATAAAAATATTTTATCGGGACATTTTCATCTCTAAGTAAGAAATATATATATATATATATATGTATATTATCACTAATCCTTAAGCCTCCCGAAAGTAGTAAATGAAAAAGAACATTAACTGCAAAAGAAAATATTGATCACCAAATGTGCGAAGATCCCTTCCACGGTTAAAGAATAGCCAGTCAACGGAAGTGTTCACATCCATTTACAAAATATCCAGAGACAAATTATTTTCCCTTTTTCTTTTTCATGTGGAAAAACGATTACCCGTATCATCGCTTAAAACAAAAAAGGTCCTTACACTTTCGCGTTCTTCTCAAGAACTGGGTTTTTCTGATGCAAAGGATTTAAAAAAAAAAAAAAAAAAAAAAAAGTGTCGACTGTAAGAAATTGCTTAATAATACTGGAACATATTTTAAATAGACTTCTAACATTTTTCTATTAAAATTTACTTTTACATTTTCCTCACAATTTCAAAAACGATTGAGAGGAAAATTTCTTTTAATAGCCTTATGATTAACATGATCATTTATGTTAGCAGTCCGCAAACTGTCTTTGGGAAAAGCCAAATGGGAAAAGTTTTAGTTCGAACAAACACGACAATATTTACATGTGAGTTCTACTCATAGAGAAAAAGAATCGATACGAGCACTACATGGCTTCTTTGTTCGCTCCATTAAAATATATACTTTTTTTCGCATTTCATTTAAAATTATTTCCTCGAATTATTCTAACTTATTGAACCGATCCCTCAAAGCAAATTGAAAAAGACATCAAAAACTGCAAATTTTGAAATTAAATTTCCCTTCAATTTTTGTCGTACGAGAGTCAAACTTGCTATAATTTTATTTTTTCATAACGTGTATAAAATTTTTCCAGATATAATTTTAAGAAACAGAAGACTGCATTAAAAGTCATATTTTGTTATTTATCCAAAATTGGTTTTTTTTTTAAATTTGACACTGCCAGAGCATGAATAGTTTTGTCATTTAAAACATTTCTGTTATAAGGAGTATATGACTACGACTAACGATATATATATATATATGGTAATAAAACAATAACACATTGTAATAAAGCGAACTTGGCAGCCGAGGCAAATTTAATCTTCATTCTTATTTCAGTAAACATGTTGCAGCCACAAACAACTTAGCACACTACTTGTGCCTATTTCAAAATGTTTACATTTTGTATCTTTTTTGCATATCTTATTTCAAAATGTTTACATTTTGTATCTTTTTTACATATCCTATTTCAAAATGTTTACATTTTTTTTCTTTTTTACATATGCTATTTCAAAATATTTACATTTTGTATCTTTTTTACATATCATATTTCAAAATGTTTAAATTATTTTATGTCTGTATGTGCAGACATTAAGCAAAAAGTAGTCAAAATGAATTCCGGAGCGATTATATATAAGTAGCTATTTGCTTTGAAATATGACATGCCAAATTTTTCGAAATTATAGTACTTCGTACAAGGATCATTTAAACATGTCTTTGCACGTACTAAATGTGTTCAAAATGTTCACAAAAACATACAGAGCATTTACTGTATATTACAGCCTAATACATAATGTAACACAATTCACAAAAAACACATACGGTTTCAAATTTTTATAAGTTTAAAAATCAGGGTTCCAGAATAACAAGTAATGTAATCCATATGGTTTTTATTGTCAGTATTTATTTTCAGAAAGAATTTAAGAACAGGTTTAGATCCATTTCTTTAAACATCAGTTTTAGTATATCATTTTGCAGTTCAGTCTCTTCCAGCTAAAGGTCTGTCTGACATAATTTTACAGTAAAATGGATTTTGAAATACGAAAATACATACATTTTGTACTTGCATCAAGATGCAAAATCCACTGCTGTAACTATAGTTTAAATTCAGAAAATATATCTGCGCGAATGTTTTTTGAAATGGGAATTTCTCTAATACTTGAAATTCTTTCCAGCGTGAAAAATTATCACACTTATTTAATGTGATTTGTGATTCAAACAAAGTAAATTTTTCTCAACATGGCTTGAGAGTAGAACATGTTTCCCACTGAGAATTGAGTTTTCCTTTAATTTTAAGCAAAATTCGTCAAAATATTCCACGATGTCCTAGAAAATGTTAATTTCCATAGCCACTCGTTATTCTATAATAATAGTTGCGGAAAGTTTCCCTCATTTAAGTTGGGTTAGCTTATTTGAGTAAGGCAAAGCATACGAGGTTATCTGCTTGAGAGGGGGTCTTTTTAAAGGACGTGGAAGACTTTTTAAAGGAAATTGTCTCGTTTCAGGTTACGCATGGGAAAAATCATGAAAACCAGCCATGCAAGCAGTCCATTCTGGTAGAAAACCCAAGTCGAAATCCAAGAATATAACATGGAAAAAATCCTTATTCACACAAATAGGTTATGCAAAATGGCAATAAAAATTTAATAGCTTTATTTGAAATGCCTTTAAATTCTTTCTTTTGATACAGCCAAAAGTCAACAGTGTATTATTTTTTAAATCTTCAGTTAGAGTTTGATCGCAGGAAATTTCTATCAACTGAGCTTTTTCTTCACGAGATTTTTGAACTTAACAGTTAAAAATACCTTGTTTTTTATCTACCACCTATTTTTTATCTTGCGTACCAGCGGTTGAGAATAGCTGATATAATGAATTACCAAAGGATCTGAATATTTAGCCTCTTCACAAACCTTAAAAATTCGTCCAATTTAAATGCACACACATTTTTACCACCATCAGTTGTGACTTTTTTTTAAAGACTCCACTGCAAATTGTACTATGTTAGGGTTTCTGTGACTTCTTGGTAGATGTCTTCACCTGTAGTGTTTCCATACAAGCTGCTCATAAAAGCGCATTCTTCTGTTACCTCAAACTCAGTATTGACTTTAAATACTAATATACGAATAAATACTTAGAGTTACGCAGTATCAGAAATGTATGTCGACTCGTCAAAAACCAATGAAAACAGCTTGAAATGTTTTACTTTTAATTAACTCTTATGCGCCTCTCGATGTCCTCAGTTCGTCTATCAGTTGTTTGCTCCGAAAGACTGACAGATCAAAGCAAATCTGGTGGATTAATTTTTTTATTTTATTTTCATAAGTAATATGCGTAATCTTTTAATTGTCTTTTTCTGTCTTAAACTTTCCAGTTTTAGCCATCGTTCATTTTCTAATGAGTTGTAAATATTATATCGCGTGCTTAGTTTGGTAAAGGCGATGCACTAAAGTGTACATATTAATTGGGACAAAGCAGTTTTTTGATAATTTATATGCATACCTTCACATACAGTAATAATTATAAATTGATAGGAAATATGCCCTCTCCTTTTAGCACGTTATTTGCAGAGAATTGTGGGTATAATGCTTACTTCTTTATCATGCAACCATATTTTCATAGAGTTCTTAATCATGCTCCTTTTCGTCGTATTTGCTAAGATGATCCTTGAGGAAGCACTAGAAAATTTCGATCGGATTTAAGTCTGGTAAGTTTTCAGGCCAATTTAGCATAATAATTTTAATTTCCAACATGAACAATTTCGACTTGTTTGTGACATGGAGGTCTTATTGATTCCCCCTTGCTTCGTCCTAAGATGTGTAACCATGAACAAATACCCTTAGTAAAGTAATGAATTAAGTCAGTTGGTGCACCAACTTTAGTGCATTTCTGCCCAATGGGATCAAAAGTTAACTTTCCTTTTTTTGCATCGAAAATTTTGTCTTTTTGCCAGCTGCCTAATTGTTTGTAGATCTAATTTTAATTGTAAATAGAGTTTAACTGCATTTGGTGTTTTAGGTTTTTCTGTACTTTACAACATTCAATGAAGAAGTTTTGAGTTTTTTTTTCTTGTATTTTTGCCCTGATACGAAGTTAGAATAGTTGATTGAATGAGAAATATATCGCTAATAAAATTCGAAGAAATAAGTTTAAATGAAGTACAGCAAGAAAAAGAGTATAATTTAATAGGCCGTACAAGGAAGTCATGTTGTGTCCACATCAGATATTTTAATAAAATTTTCCTTTGAAGCAGACTCATTTTACTTGCTTCAATGCAAAATTATTTAGTTGCCATTGAACAGATTTCGCTCTCTTTTACTTTGCATCATCCTTTTATTTGAAAAAATAATTTCATTACTTAACGGATCTTCCTACTTTAACATCATCTGTAAACATCATGCATTATGCTTACCGTCCATTATGCAGAAATTTTCTTCCGGAAAATGTTGCTTAAAATACTTCAAAAGGAGCTGTATCTTCGTAAAACTCTGAAAGAAAACATTTTCAATAATGTTCCAAGAAGGTTGATGAGACACGACAATGAAAATGTTGAACGTATATTTTTAAGACCAGCAAAAGTGAAGTCTCTTTATTAAAGTATCTTAATGTTCAGACTCATTCGATAAAATTTTTTTATAACTTCGTAAATCGCGGCCTTTACCAAAGAAAGCATTCATAGATACAATGAAGAATGTGACTGAATGAAAAGATACGTATTTCAACTTTTTTCAATTTTCTTTAAAAAAAAGAAGAGAGAGTAAGATAATTCGCAGATCATGGAATTCAATGGAAAATATGTCATTTTCATTAGTCCAAAAGGGGGTATTAGTTTCGAAAAGTGATTTTTTGTCTGTTTACTTTGCACGGCATATCACTTTTTAAATTGTTGCCACCAAATATTATCGCTCTGTGATATTTTTAAAGAAATTAAATAATTAAGAATCTGTATGTATGAATGTTCCTCGTATTAAAAAAGAGATGGCATCTAGAACCATCAATCACATTTTGAATTACATGGTCCTCCACACGAACACGTGCACCTAAAATTACGAATTTTGAATTTGTTTCATTATTTATTTCATATTTTCTAACATTTTAATGAATTTTTGATGACCAACAAACTCAATGTTTTAAAAGAGAGCAATGGCAACACTGTTTGAAATAAAAGATTCTTATCTCCAGCATGTGAAACTGTTGCCACTCATATGTAAAGATTTTGAAAAATGTAAGTATTTTTCAATTTTAATTAACAAATTCGGTTCTATGAAAGCACTATGTTGCAAGAAACTGAAATAAAATATTTTATCTTCCTTGCGCTAGTTCAAAAGCCTGAGATACTTTCAAATTTAACTGTAATGTTATTTAGTAATAAACTAAGCGACTTAAAGCAATAAACACAGTTCTTAAGAATACTTTTTATTGTGATTGATTTAAATAAACATATATTAAAATTTTGAGATGTCTAATTAGTAATATTCAATATTTTTATGAAATTACATTAGCTGAACTCATAAAAATCATTATACACCTTTTCCCTTTTATGATATATATTTTAGGAGGCTGGTCGCTGGCTAGTTCTAAAAGAAAGAATACAAAAATATGTATGGCAACTTCTAACACTCTAGCGGGAATTCTGAAGATGTGCTGTTTCTAAATATTTTGTGATTTTGCCGTTGAATTGAATTTTCTATGGCGTGAGTGCGAAGAGCGTGGTATTTAATAAATAAAGTTAACACATAAAAAGACAAGAAAATTTTGTTATTCATCTTATTAAAACTGAATATTAATATGATAAACTGAGAAAAGACTGAAAAAATATAGAAATTTATGCCAACAATTAACATTGCAGCGGGAATTCAAACATTTGCTGTTATGCAGCTTTTAAAAAATTTGTGATTTTGCTGTTGAACGGTATGTGGCGTAAGTGCGGATAAAACGAATGTTTAATAATAAATCTAGTAAAAACTTAATGTTAGCAGGAGTGTGTGCAAGAGCAGAATGGTAGACTGCGAGCTCAGCGAGAACGTAAAAATCCTTAATAAACCCTTTTGGGAGATCGTTACAACAATAGTTCTTATATCATATTTATTTTAGAAAATCAGCTAAATATTTATATATTTTTACTTTTTAAATATGGTCTCTCTCTCTCTCTCTCTCTCTCTATATATATATTATATTTTATATTATATAGACACATTATTTTAAAATGTTGAATGGTTAAAATATTTTATTTTACGAATTTTAGTTAGAAATCTGAAGTTTTCAAATTGTTTTCATCAGTACAGTTTAATACAAAAATGTCAGGTAGGAATCTTGGTCTAAACATACAGGTTTCGAATAAAATTTTTAAAGTTGGCAATTAAATTCAAAATTTGTTACCCCCAATGTTATCTCTAATAGGGTCGAGAATTTTGTGTAAACAATTTTAATACTCGAAATTCATAGAATAAAGCAAAGAACTTCCTGAGAACAGTTTCGGTATTAGAAGTAGCAGGAATGTGTAATAAATGGTTAGGTTATTTAATTACGGTAAAGCCTCTCGAGGGCTATCTGCCTAAGGCAAGGGATACCTCAGTGTAGAACTTTCTAAGGGAAACTGGCTCGTATATACGTTACACATGGGGAAAACCACGAAAACACCTCTGCTGCCAGCCCGTTCGCGGGATTCGAACCTCGGATAACAAGCAAAACGAAAGGCAAAGATATGACTCTCTTAACGAGCGATGGTTCGCAGAACGAATGACACTGCAGTCGTCGGGACGTAACATAAAGGATCCAGCCTGCATCTCGACTAAAAGCTTTGACTGAACAATAGGTGTAAGCAAGTGCCTGTGGAAGTTGTAATTGTTGTAACTTGTAATTGTAAAAACAGAGTCTCTGGCCAATGTTATGGAACTAAAGGTGGACAGCAACAACATGGATGAGGTAGTGGAAGAGTATAATAATAGCAACCACATCGATGTGCTAGTGGAACGATGAGCATAGGCAGGAGCTGACCATCGAATAACTTATGGAAGCTGTGTGTTGCGTCGCAGAAAGAAATTGTGGAGGAGATTTTCTCAGAGAAGAAGAAAACAGTTTCAGCAAAGCCTTCCAGCGGAAAGTATGGAAAACTATTGCATCGTATATTGAGCATCATTACTTTAATAAGGCAGTAGCTATCCGCGCTACAGACTTATTTAACGATAATGCTGTGTCTCATTCTCGCCAAGGCTCAAAACATATGTCTTTAAATAACTTTCTTGTAAAAGGTTATATATTATAAATAATAAATTGCATTATTATAAATTTATTTAAGTATTTTTTCGGAAAGCATTATGAAGGAAAACCTGGTTCGCTTAACGAGTGTTTCGCATTTCGAGTAAGATTCGGCAAAATATTATGCTTGTTAAGCTAGGCTCCACTTAATAAATAAAAAGTGTTTCCTATCCTTGTACGTAACTGACGGAGATTTTGGGGAGCAATTTGTAGATATTATCATTTTGTATTGCTAGTTATCGACAGAAAGTTGGTATATTTTTACCAGGTATTGGAAAGCATTAAAAAAATTTTCTTATTCTACGGTTAATGATTTGGTTTAGGAAAAAAAGGATTGTTAAATAACATTTCCTTATTTAATTCATGCCATAAAAATATCATAGATATAAAAGTTATTCGATAGAAACATTCTCCGTCACTTTCGCTTAAACTCTATGAAAACGTAAATGCACCAGTAGTTTTTTAAAAAACTAGAAGGTGAATTTCCTTGTTGTATCATTTATAGAAAAAAATCAGTCAAGAAACAGTCTAAGCAGGGATTCTCAACCTGACAAGAATTTCTTAGTTTCGGAGGGAATGTGATCAATATTTTATTAAATTGTTCAGTATTTAGTTTTATTTTTTAATATAAAAAAGCTACTTTTAATCAAATTTTGGTATTTATGAACATTTTCTACACCTTTTGTTGTTCAGTTAATAAAACAGCTTACACAATACTTAAATCTAAATAAATGCATATGTATTTTTCCAGTTTTGTAAATGAGAGAGGGATGATCTTCTAGCAGTAATGAAAAAGGTGCATAGAAACACTGAAACGTACACCATAAACAACTTCTGATAATTCATCTTCCGAAAATGATCGACATCAGTATTAGAAAAGCATAAAAAAACTTACATGCATACTAAAGATAAAAGTACGAAAAATAATAATGCACATATTCTCATTCCCATCTTCTCATTGCATTTATAATTACTGTGTGTATTATTATTAGACGCAAAAAAATTAAGCTAAAATATGAACACTGCGCAAAAAAGTAAAAAAGTGGGATAGTTCTATATCTCCCGTTCTAGTGGGTCAATTGACGAAATTCAACTTGCGTTTTTCATGTCTCGAAAGGGCGACTTAAGATATATATTAGATTTATATATAGCATTGTTCTAATATAGGTATTTTGAAACACAAAATAGTACTTTTTCTGAAATAACACACAATATTTTTCCATATTTCCATTCTACGATTCAAATTACGCCAAGTTTTGTAAAAATCGCACGAGTAGTTTTTAAAAAATATCAGCTCAAAATTTTAGCTCTTCAATGTTAATTGAATTTGATATATATTTATTAATATATCTCTTTTAATTGAACCTACTTGATCTTCTTTCTTCTAAATTTTGAAATTTAGGATTAATCCAAATATAATTCGCACATTTTTTTATTTATTTAAAAAATTTTTATTTTTTTTTAAATATTTTTTATAAATTTTTTGAAACATTTATGTATGCTACAAAAGCTAGATGTATTTCCAAGCATTTTTGAAAAAAATAAGAGTTTTTTTATTCAAAATTTTCTAAGGTATACGTGAATTTACATTTTGGCACGTTTTGAAATTTGGTGTATTTAATATAAGCGATGATAACGAAAATGTGGTTTACGCACTTTGTTGACCATTTTTCCTCTCGTGAATCAACGAAAAAAATTAAAGTAAGTAGGTTACTATAAATTAAGAATTCCACCAAGTTAATTATTCTTGGCGCAAACTGAAAAAAATTCCCCAAGATAAATTTTTAAATTTCTCCATAAATTCTAACCAAAAATTACGAAATTTAATATGTAGGCATAATTTGAGTCGTAGAATCGAAATATAGAACAAAATTGATATGTTATTTCAGACACATTCAGATTTTGTGTCAAAATACCTATATTAATATTAATATTATATTAAAATAAAAACAAAATCTGAAATGTTTCAGATTTTTAAATTACGTCCAAAGGGACGTTTTTTAACATTTTGTGTGTTACCTTTCTTTATTAAATATCATGTTCCTCGCACTTAAACCATAAGATCCAGTGCAACAGCAATATCGCAAAATAGTTTTAAAACGAGCATATCTTTAGAATTTCCGATACAGAGACTCACGCGCTGGAGATAAAAATGTTTTTTTCTGCACAACGTTGCCATTGCTCGCTTTGTAATCCTTGAGTTTGTTAATCAAAAATTCGTCAAAGTTTT